GGGCCCTTCTTAGTGAGGCAGTGTTCACATGGGGCCACACCTGGAGCCTGAGGTGACTGTAGTGGGAGGCGGGTCTGGGACCAGGGCTAGTGCTGACCTCAGACTCAGGTTTAGGGGTAGCGGCAGCATGTCTGCCCTCTCTGACATTGGTCACATGTTTAACCCTTGGGTGTGGATATTGCCTGGTGGCCGTGCCCTGCCCAGCACAGCTGTCCCTCTTGCCTGGCAGTGGCACTCCGTGTGGGCCGTGGATGTCCCTGCTGGATGGTTCCCATTGCACTCCGTTACATCTGGCGAGGCATTCCTTTCTTGGTCAGGAGGCGGTTAAAGTGAAAGAAGCCATCTTCTGTTGGGTGCCTTGGGGCGGGCTGGGCAGGAGCTTCTCCCTGTCCCCAGCAGAGCTCCAGGCCTCCTGCAGGAAGCCCCTCCTGGGCAAGTGAGGGATGGCCGCCAGGGAGAGAGGTGGATGAGAAGGTTCTTAAGGCTGGCTGGGGAGGGCCCCCTTTGCTGGTCTTCACTTTTCTCTCTAGGCCTCTGTCTTGGCTGGGCCGGAAGGAGTTGCAGTCCAGTTGTAGTCCATGGTGGCGTGTAAGGAGGGCTGGTTCCTGCCCACAGGGGTCGGGAATGACATGTTGCCGGAAACCATGAGTTTGGCCTCCACCTGTGGGCCTGGGGGTGGGCATGGGCTGTGCTCCTGTCTGCTGGAGATAGGGCTGCCAGCCTGGCCCCAGAGGGAACCACACGGAGACCCAGTAACCACAACCTTTCTGAGTGCCCGGCCTCCTGGAGGCCAAGGCTCTGGGCAGCGTGGGTGTCCAGGCCAAGCTGGGCAGAGCCTGTCGGATGTCGGGTGTAGTTCTCGGCTTTCTGCCTCAGCGGAGATCACTTTCATCTTAAAACCTCCTCTCACGGCCTTCGAAAGATTCTGACCAAAGGTGCTCTCCTGCCCTTTGCATGGAGCTGGGAAGAGAGGCCTCGGTGACCCCGTCCCAGCTTTCCCCCATGAGCCCTCAAGTCTATGTGGGCTGACAAAGTGTTCACCCTGAGGCGAGTGGGGCTTCTGCACCCATGGCACCGTGGGCCAGTGGGCCCAGGGCGTCCTGCCCCAAGGTCAGGCAGCAGTGAGGGGTGCAATGGGTGCCATCCCCTTTGGCCATTTGGCGGGTGTGTGTTGGGGCCCACAGGTGGAGCGATTGAGGGTGCATGGGGAGGGGACCTGAAGGGAGTCCTTGGCCTGGGCTTTGACTACCCTCTGGAGATGTGCTCAGGGCCACCCCCCACGAGGAGGAGCAGGGAGAGTTGGGTTTGGTCTCACTGAGGCTGCTCTGCCCTTGGACTCAGTGCCAGCTGGGAAACTGAGGCTGAACCAGCACCCCTGGGTGATCTGTGGACCATCAGTGGGCAGGGGTTCCTGTGTCCACAGCCAAAGACGACTTCCCTCCACTCTTTGGGCCCCGGGTCTCCCTACCTTGAGGGGAAGTGGGGGTGAGTGCTGAGTAGAGGCTCAGCAATATTGTGTGAAGATGAGCACGTGGCTTCTGGGTGGTCCTGAGGGTCAAATGATGCAGCAAGGCCAGGCTCGAGTGGCTCACGCCTGGAATCCTAGCACTCTGGGAGGCTGAGGTGCGAGGATCGCTTGAGATCAGGAGTTTGAGACCGGCCTTAGCAAAAGCAAGACCCCATCTCTACTAAAAATAGAAAAAATTAGCAGGGTGTAGTGGTGTGCACCTATAGTCTCAGCTACTCAGGAGGCTGAGGCAAGAGGATCACTTTAGCCCTGGGGTTTGAGGTGGCGGTGAGCTCGGCTGACATCACGGTGATAGAGCTAACCCAGGTGACCGAGCAAGACTCTGTCTCAAAAAAAAAAAAAATGAGGCCGGGCGCGGTGGCTCACGCCTGTAATCCTAGCACTCTGGGAGGCCGAGGCGGGTGGATTGCTCAAGGTCAGGAGTTCAAAACCAGCCTGAGCGAGACCCCGTCTCTACCATAAAAATAGAAAGAAATTAATTGGCCAACTAATATATATATATATATAAATCAGCCGGGCATGGTGGCACATGCCTGTAGTCCCAGCTACTTGGGAGGCTGAGGCAGGAGGATTGCTTGAGCCCAGGAGTTTGAGGTTGCTGTGAGCTAGGCTGACGCCATGGCACTCACTCTATCTAGCCTGGGCAACGGAGTGAGACTCTGTCTCAAAAAAAATAAAAATAAAATTCTGAGTATTACAGAAATGAACCTACAGACATTGTGGTTTTCCTATAATCTCACCCCCACAAATAACCTCATTTAGCAGCTGAGTGTGCTGCCCCTGAGGAGTTTCTTTCCACAGGATGGACCTGCTGGGTTGGGAGGGGTCAGGGCTGCCTTGCGTTAGTGGCTAGTGGGATGTACAGGGAAGGTGAAGCTGGGTGTGGCGTGGGGCTCCGGCCAGCCCAGCTCTGGGGCCTGACCTTCCCGTGAAAGGCTGTGGTGTCTGAGTGCTGCTCCAGCCCTCGTCTGGCCTTGGGCCTGTCCTTAGTGGAGGGTGGGGGACATGCCTTTCTGGAACCAGGAGGGGCAAAAGGAAGGCAGGTGGGTGTTGACCATTCCGTAAACAAGGTTGTGTGTCTGAACGTCTCAGGCAGGGCCTGGGGAGGTAATCCAGAATCATCTTGTTCCTTCTGTCACATGTTATATATGCTGGCTATCCCCCCAGTGGCTGGTTCCTGCCTTACCCTTCTGGGGTCAACTGGTGGGAGCTCTCCCACCCACTGGGGAAGCCTGGGAAGCTGAGGGGTCCTAACTAGGGAGGCAGTTTCTGTGCCACCCTTCCTGTCCCTCCCCGAGCCCCTAAAGGCTCTGTCCCAGAGAGGGGCCAGGTCGCAGCCTTAGAGGAGGACCCAGATGGCCCTGCTAGCCCAGGACTGCTGCCCCACTGCCCCAGATCCTAGGCATCCTAGAAGCCAGCACTCTGGGCAGGGTAGGCCAGGGCCAGGCATGCTGTCCTTGGGGCTGATAGGCACGCCGCCTGGGCCTGTTGCCAGGGCCTGCTGGGTGCCAGGCAATGTCCTCATCCCAGCCTGCAATTAGCTCCTGCCAAGGCTGGGCACCAGCCCTTGGGCCCAGCTTTCTGGGCCAGCCCCAGAGCTATGTTTCTGGTTACTTGGCACTCCCCCAAGCTGGGGCCTCTCCAGGATAGGTGCTTGCTGTCCTGCCTGGCGGTGAGTGGGCAGTGCAGAGTTCTCTGATTGTCGTCATTTGGGTTGGGGAGAGAGAGCAGTGCTCCATAGGGGCCCTGCAGCAGGGTGGCGTGGGGACCCTCTCGAGGGGTGAGGATCCATCACCACTTGCAGACACAGTGGCAGCCCAGACTCAGCCCAGCCTGTGTGTGGCTGGCAGGCAGGGTTCAGGGAAGCCAGTCCTGTCCTGTTCTGCTGAATGTCACGTCTGACCCAACCTGGGACCCACCCCTCTTGGCTGGGAGACTTTGGTCCTCACCTGGGCTGGTGAAGTACCTGGCAGGGCTAGGCAGTGGGTACCCACAGAAGGTGTTCCCAGCCCTGTGGTGCTCAGGTGCCCCAGAGTTCTGCCACCTACTCCTTGCACTGTGTCCAGTGGCTGGCCTGACCTCTTGGACAGGGGCAGGTGACCCTCTGGCAGGTGCTCTGAGAGGCTCTGGTTGAAGAGTGGGTGGGGTGGCACAGGGCTTCATGGTGGGCGTCTGGTTAGTTCCAGTGTGCTGTGCCACTGTGACTTCCTGGCCAGTCTTCTGGCTGCTCTTACAAGTGTTTCAGTAGCCTCTGCTCCCCTTCTAAAGCTGACAGCCGTCCCTGGCCACAGTCTGACTTTACAGACCCGAGCGAGGGGCCTAGGCCCAGCCCGCACTAATGTGGACGCTCTTAGGCTTCTGTACCTACAGAGCTGGTTCTGCTGCCCTCTGGGCCTTTGGTGGGGTCCTGGGCCAACTGTCTGCCCCTCCCCTCGGTCCCCCCTAAGAGGCAAGCTGCTCTAGGGGCTGGAGAGACAGCTGGCAGGCTGAAGCTGAAGCCTGTGAGGCCTCCCAGCCACAGGCCACACCGGGTCTGGTCACATTCCTGAGGGACCTGCTGAGCCTCCCTGGCCCTGGGGTAGGGGGTGGGGTGGGGGAAGGGCAGGCAGGAATGGGCTCCCTGCTGCTACAGGCCCCTTCTGCACCCCTGGCTCCATTCCAGGGGAGCTCAGGCTGGCCCACGTTGGGTGCAGGGACCCCCATCCTGCAGGGCCCACGGCTGTGGGAGAGAAGGAGCCCGCCCTCATCTGGAGGCAGCTGCCAGTGGCTTTGGTGGGTTGGTACTGGAAGGCCAAGCCTGCAGCTTGGGCGATCCCTTAGGCAGTGAAACCTCCAGAGAGGGGAGGCCACGTGGTCAGGCCAGGGCTGGGCTGGAGGGGGCTGGGCACTCTAGGGTGGGAGAGGCCAGGGCAGATCCTAGAGGGACAGGGGCCGGGGAGCTAGAAGCGGTTGAGACTAGTTCTTATAAATAGCCCTTGCACAAGTGGCTCCAATTTTGACCTTTTGTTATGTAAATTTGGCAAGCCTGGGAAGGGCCTTGCCCAGGCCTCCTGCCTCCGCCTGCCTGCCAGGAATTGTGTGCCTGCCACTAGCGCCCCCAGGCATAGGTGGCCCCTAGGGTGTCCTAAATATCCTGTGTGTGTGTGTGTTGAGGGGGGAGGTTTAGTGCCCACCAAGTTCCCCAGAGCCGTTCCTGGGGTCCTCACTCTTCTTTCCCTTCCATCTCTGGGGCACTGTAGTCACTGTCTCTGCAGGGCTGTGCCTGGGTGTTCGGCCTTTCTGGGAATGAGGGCCCTAGGTCTTCCCCTGCCGTCCCTCGCCGAGGCCCGTCTGGGTGACCACGTCTGTCTTCTCCTCCTCAGGTGATCAGGCATTGATGCACCCCCAGGAAGGCCACGCGCTCAAGGAGGCCGCCCCCGCTGGCTGCTGCTCACATGGTGTCTGGGCCCCTGGCACTCCGGTAGGCCCAGGGGGAGGTGTGGGGGAGGGGGAACTGCCATCTGCGCCTTCTTCCCTGGGCTTCCTACGTGGTGCACACAGCCCCACTGCCCTTGTTCTGGCCTGTGGTCTTTTGTGTGCGCACTGCGCTGGGTGGTGTGGGGAGAGCCACTGCCCTTTGCCCGTCCCCTTGCCAGGCTCTGAGCACCAGGCGTACTGGGCTCTGGCAGAGCCGGCACTGGCATTTCCCTGGGGCTGGATGTCTGGAGCCCACTGTGGAAGCCACGCCTTAGACTCTTTGTCCCTGCCAGCCTGGCTATTGCAGGGGAGGGAGTGGAAGAAGATTGGTGCCCAAAGTCTCCAGCCTCTGAGCACCCCCACAGGTACAGAGAGCTTGCGTCCACAACCACGTGGCACCCTCATGTGTTCACAGTGAGCTCTGAAACCCTTGGGGTGCCTGTGGTCATTAGGGTTTCCCTCTGTCTTTGCAAGTGGAGGCAGGTGTGGTGCTGGGGAGAGTATTTCTGTCCTGGGAAGAGAGGGCAGGGTGGGTCCCCATGGGAGGCAGGGCTCGCTGCCCTGGGAGGGGCAGGAGACTCTGGTGGTGATGAGGCAAAGGGCAGCTGAGCTATTTACAGAGACCCTGAACTGTGTGGGGCAGAGCTGCCTGTGGTTCCCTCCTGCTTAGCGGCTGGCAGCCATGAGTCAGTGAAGATAGTTCCTGTCTCCACTGGTCTCCTGCCCTGTGGAATCCTGTGGGGCCAGACTAGGCACAGGTGGCCACCTGAACACCACCTGCTTTCCCTAGCCCTGGACTCAGTGCCCTCCCCTGCTGAGCCATTCTCTGAGGCTCTGGCAAGGGTGCAGGTGGAGGTGGATACTGTTTCCTGTGGGGAGCTAGGCTTGGCGCTGAGGCGGCTCTGGGCACCGCTGGCCACTGTCCTTGTCTTCCCTTGTGTTTCCCTCCTCCCCTGGGGTCCATCGGGCTGCCCTGCCCTTGCTCTCCCCACTGAGAATGAGGTTGCCCTGGTACTTGGCACGGGCTGCTGCTCAGTGGGGGTGTGGAGTTTGGTCAGGAGGAGCCAGCCCTTGGAGCCCACGTGCACTCTGTCGTGCCAGTGGGCTTGTAGGGCTCCTGCGGAGCCCAGCGCATTTGTGTGCTTATTACTTAATGACCTCAGTCAGTGTCTGTGCCAGTTGGTCTGGCAAGGCCAGCTGGCCATCTTTCCCAGGTGCAGGAAGGACGGTGTTGTCCTTCCTTGAAAGGACATAGGGCCCAGCTGGTGTCAGGGGCTTGGCCAGGCCACCTTCCCTGCTGGCACCTGGAGGCCCAGGCTAGAGAGGTGCTCAGTGCCGGCCCAAAGGTGGAGCCCTTGGGTTTGGGTGGGCATCGGTGAGGAGCAGGTGTGGGCAGGCGGCAGGCAGGCTGTGGAGTCTGCGAAGCAGCACAACTTCTAGAAAATGCTGAAGCTTAGGCAGCCCCTCAGGTTGTCTGTGCAGCCTGCCACCGCAGAGCAGAGGCTTGCAGATGTGATAGTTAGATTTGGGCCACACAGTGTTTTAAACAGGAGCCTTCATTTAGCTTTGGAGATTTCACATGGAAGTCTAGATTTCCAGCTTGTCTTGAGAGCTGGGGAGATTGGCCCTGTGGGGCTGTGCACCAGGCAGGAGTGGTCAGCTCACCGAGGGAGCTCCTGCTCCCTGGATTTTATAACCACCTATTGGTCATTTTTGGGTTCCCTGCTGGTCCCTGTGGGTGTGTGATCAATTTCCTTTAGTGTGAGACAGCAGCCTGGGCTGTGAGGTCAAGTGCAAATCCCAGTCTCTCTCCTTGGCGCCTTCCTGTCCTGGCCTCCGTCTTCTCATGAGCACGAGTGGGGCGCGAGGGCAGCTCGAGCCCTGGCGAGGTGAGGCACGCATCTGCGCACGGCGGGCAGTTTGGGTCCTCCCTGTGCGCCGTGCTGAGGGGGAGCTGTGTGAGGGTCAGGGCCGGGTCAGTGCGGAGGCCCCTCTGAGTGCCACGTTGAGCCCCATTGTGCTCGGTCATCTAATATGTGTGTGCCTGTTTGCCCACAGGTGGTGCGCGTGGGCAGGGCGCGGGGACATGGGGCCTGACATGGAGCTGCCCAGCCACTCGAAGCAGCTCCTGCTGCAGCTGAACCAGCAGAGGACCAAGGGCTTCCTGTGTGACGTCATCATCATGGTGGAAAACTCCATCTTCCGGGCCCACAAGAACGTCCTGGCCGCCAGCAGCATCTACTTCAAGTCCCTGGTCCTGCATGACAACCTCATCAACCTGGATACAGACATGGTCAGCTCCACGGTGTTCCAGCAGATCCTGGACTTCATCTACACGGGCAAGCTGCTGCCCAGCGACCAGCCGACCGAGCCCAACTTCAGCACCCTCCTCACTGCTGCCAGCTACCTCCAGCTGCCCGAGTTGGCAGCCCTCTGCCGCCGCAAACTCAAGCGGGCCGGTAAGCCCTTCGGCTCTGGGCGGGTCGGGGCCGCTGGCATGGGGCGGCCTCCCCGCAGCCAGCGGCTATCCACGGCCTCTGTCATCCAGGCTCGGTATCCCAGGCTCGTGGACGGGCGCAAGGGGGCCCACGCCTCCCAGGAGCTCCCCCAGGCCAAAGGTTCAGATGAGGAGTTCTTCCTGGGTGGCTCTAACCAGGAGAGCATGCACGGCCTGGGCCTGGCTGTCTGCCCAGCTGGCGGGGAAGCAGGCCTCGGGGGCTGCAGCAGCAGCACTAACGGGAGCAGTGGGGGCTGTGAGCAGGAGCTGGGCCTGGACCTGTCCAAGAAAAGCCCACCTCTGCCTCCCGCCACCCCTGGGCCCCACCTCACCCCTGATGACCTGGCCCAGCTGAGCGACAGTCAGCACAGCTCGCCCCCCTCAGCCTCTGCCCCTCCCGCTGCCAACAGTGCCTCTTATGCCGAGCTGGGGGGCACCCCCGATGAGCCCGTGGATCTGGAGGGGGCTGAGGACAGCCACCTCAGCCTGCCGGAGGGTCCTGGTGGGCAGCCTCGGAAGAGTCTCTGGCACTCGGCCCCCAAGAAGGAGTGGAGCAAGAAGGAGCCTGCGGCTGGCTCCCCCTTTGAGAGGAGAGAAGCGGGGCCCATGGGCCCCTGCCCAGGGGAGGAGGGTGAGGGGCTCGGGGACAGGGTTCCCAATGGCATCCTGGCCAGCGGGGGTGGCCCCAGTGGGCCCTATGGGGAGCCCCCATACCCCTGCAAGGAGGAGGAGGAGAACGGCAAGGATGGCAGCGAGGACAGTGGGCAGAGCGGGAACGAGGGAGGCAGCGGCCATGCTGGCGCCCACTACCTCTTCTGGCAGGAGGGCTACGAGACAGTGCCCTACGGGGACAACCTGTATGTCTGCATCCCCTGCGCCAAGGGCTTCCCTAGCTCTGAGCAGCTCAACGCGCACGTGGAGACGCACACGGAGGAGGAGCTGTTCATCAAGGAGGAGGGCGCCTACGAGACTGGCAGCGGGGGTGCCGAGGAGGAGGCGGAGGACCTGTCGGCACCCAGCGCGGCCGAGCCCCGGCCCTTCAAGTGCTCGGTCTGCGAGAAGACCTACAAGGACCCGGCCACGATGCGGCAGCACGAGAAGACACACTGGCTGATGCGGCCCTTCCCCTGCAACATCTGCGGCAAGATGTTCACGCAGCGAGGCACCATGACGCGCCACATGCGGAGCCACCTGGACCTGAAGCCCTTCGCCTGCGACGAGTGCGGCATGCGCTTCACACGACAGTACCGCCTCACCGAGCACATGCGTGTGCACTCGGGCGAGAAGCCCTATGAGTGCCACCTCTGCGGGGGCAAGTTCACCCAGCAGCGCAACCTCATCAGCCACCTGCGCATGCATACCTCCCCCTCCTAGAAGCCAAAGACCCGCGGCGCCCTCTGCAGACTCGTCCTCGGGAGCCCACGCACGGAGGCGCACGGAGGCGTGGCGCCAGGGGCCAGATGCCTGGGGCCAGCAGGGGCTTGCGGCCGCCCCTGTGGCCCGGCCTGCCCACACCCAGAGCTTTAATCGACAGTCTGTACCAAGTGAAGCCAAGAGGAGGGAAGCCAGCGGCCCGGCCGACTACCTCCCCATCCCACCCAGGGCCCCACCCCCTCGAGGGCAGCCGCAGGGCCCGGGGCGTGGGTCATGTGGGTCTCTGGGACCTGGTCCCTTTGCTGCAGGCCGGCTTGGAGAAGGCGTAGCGGGGCCGTCCGAGCTAGCTAGGGGCAGGGCTGCCCATGGCCGGGGCAGTGTCTGTGTGCGTGTGCGTGTGTTGTGTCTGTGTGCGGGCGTGTGTGACCCTGGCTTTGCGGGGAGCAGGTGCTGGGGGGCAAATCCTGCCCCCCTTGAGCCAGGGTGGCGCTGCTCACTGGCGCTGGGACAGTCAGGGTGACCCCACCGCCTACCTCTCTACAACTAAAGAGCCCTCCGGGCCTGTGTTGCTGTTATTCCTACTGATCTGTTCCTTTCTTTTATTTTTGATTTTTGTTTTTAAACCAAAACAAACAATAGTTTATTTTCTTTCCGGCTCCCCTGGGGCTGAGCCTGGGTCTGCAGACTGAATGTAGCGGGGGCGCCGTGCCTCCTGCCGGTCCTGGTGCCGCGGGGCACCCGGGAACTGCCTCTCCAGGCCCAGAGGCCCCTCTTGCCCAAAGGCCTCCCCGGTCCCCAGCCCTGCCTTGGCGCCTCAGGAGAAAGAGTGCTTTTCCTGTAGTTTCCAAGGAATATTCTTTGTTTAGAGGTACTTGTTTTTTATTAAGAGAAAAGCCAGTGCAACGTTTCTGTGACTGTGGGGGAGGCTGGCTCGGGCCCAGGGCCGAGGGTGCTGCCGGTTCCTTTCCGCGCGCGCACGCGCCGAGCGCACGGACAGATGTCTCGCTTCCCTCCTTCCTCACCCAACAAGGTGGAGAGACGCCTGACCTTTTTGCTACCTCTTGAATTCGTGACAACAATACATTGGTGACTGGCAGGTTTCCTCCCGTCCGCCTGCCCAGGAAGCCGGGCAGGGAGCGGGCCGGGCTCGGGCTGGCCCGGGTGGCCCCAGCACCCTGACGGGCTCCTGCAGCTCACATGGCCGCTTTCCCTGTGAGCGTCTGGGCACAGGTGAGGGGGGTGAGCCCCCGACGGGCAAGGTGCCAGGCATTGAGGACAGGGAGGGGGCAGCTGTTTGTTGCTCCCTGCCAGAGCCAGGATGAGGCGGAAGTGAGCCCCCCCCATCCTGCCCACCCCCCCATGCCTGCAAGAGGTTGAGCTTGGGAGGGCATCAGCCCCAGCCTGGCCAGTGAGAGGTGGGGAAGAGCCACCCAGGGCCACATACCATCTGGCGAACAGGGTTGGCACCTCTCTGAGCAGTCCTGACCTTTGCCCAGTCTGGCGAGAGGCTGGGCACCCCCTGTGGGCTCAGGGTCCCAGCCCTCGCGCCTCGCCTTGCACTCTCAGCCAGCCTCTCTCACCTCTGTGGGCCCTGATCCAGGCTCACCAGGCCAGACCCAAGTTGCCGTGCTCGGTCCTGCTGTTCTTGGCCAACTGGAGCCCCAGGGCTGGGCCAGCAGGCTGTGTCCTCTTCATTTTGCTTCATGTTTTGTTTTGTTTTTCATTCTATTTTAAGTTTAGACCAAAAAATTCCAGAGTCATCCCCTAAGAGACCCCTCCAAAAGACCCTCCAGCTGAAAACAGAGCCTGAGTTCAGGGACTCGAGTGGTGAGCGGCGTGTTTTGGGAGGGAGCTCAGGCCACACTAGGGCTCCTGGCTGAGCCCCCCCATGTGGTGACCCCAGCCCCGAGGTGGCCCCTCTTCCCTTTTGGTAGGAAACGGAGAGCTGGACCCTGGGTCTTGAGTTCCAGCAAGTCAGGCTGGCAACCTGGTGGAGGACACCCCGGGGCTGCACCCCCTCAGTGAGGGGGCAGGGTGCTCCAGGCCCCTGCTGTCCTGACCCCACCCCACTCCGTCAGCACTTAAGCCCACGACACAAAGTCTGTACCGCACGGGAACTGTACACACACCTGGCTGCATGCGTGGCCTCCCGGCCATGGGCAGCTGCATCCGTAAGGTGACTTGTGAAAGTAGGTGATTCCTTTGCAGAACTTCAGGGACTGGGAGCAAAGGCCCCCTCATTCAGCGACGTCTGTGCGACATAGTATTGTACCCACCTTAGTATTGTATCGAGCCTTTTCTGTATTTTAATGAGAAAGCAAAACACTAGTTTCTTATTTAAGATTTTAAGGGTTTGTGGGGTGGGGTAGGGTTAACACAACACTTCGTTTTGTTTTCTTTTCCTTTGATTCCATGTCAAGCGTGTGCTTGCGAGTGTGTGTGTGTGATGTTAAGAGCCTCACGAGAAAATTGGGCCCTCAGAGTCCAAGGCGGCTTACAGTTCTCTGCTTTAGTCACTTAATTCCTGAATGTTTCGGAGAAACAGGAAACAGAAAATAGCAGATGTCATGTAGGAAAGAGGATAAACAAAGAAAGAAAAAGAAAAAAAAGCTCATACCCAAATTCACAAAACCTATTTTTTAAACCAAAGCACATTTTGAATGAGTATGGAACCTCAGTGGGCTCAGAAAAAGATACTAATATATTTATCTCATTGTTTACATAAACTTTTACAGTCTCAGACCTCAGCAGCTGTGAGGCCAGTTCCAGGGAAGCCTCGCCTTCCGCCGGGCGCCCTTCCCCGCCACCCTGGAGCGGCTCTCGGCAGAGGCAGCCCTGGGGGCCAGGAAGGGGCTGGAAGCCTCCCTGGGTTCACCTGAGCCCTTGTCCCCATTCCCAGGGCCTCTCCAAGCCCAGCTGGCACCAAAGAGCGTGGGCCTGTGCTGACCAGCCACCAAGGCCTCCTGGCCGGACCGTGGAAGTCCTGGCCAGCTGGCGTTCCGGAGGTGGCCGTCAGTTCTGGCCACAGGACCTGAGTCTGGGCTTGGGTCCCCTGCTGCTCTGCCCATGACCCTCGGGGTGGGTTGATGTGAGGGTCCCACTCAAGCCAAAAAGCCGGGACCTTTGCACAGCTCAGGCAACTCTGGTGGGTCCCCACCCCCAGGGGACCCCCCATCCCAGACCCCACCCCAGGCAGCGGAAGGGGCTGACTGGGCCTGGTTCTTACCAACTCAGACGGTGCAAACACTCTTAACAGTGTTGTTTTTGTATCAATACGTTTGTGCAGTGATGAATGTATTTATTTCTCAGACTTGGGGCGGGCGAGCGAGCGGCAGGCCGGGCTCCGCCACCGCACGCTCCCACCCGACCGAGCCCTGGCAAGGGCTCCTCCAGGATTGCAAAAAAGGAAAAAAGAAAAGAACATTTAAACAAATAAGAATCTCAGAGACTCACAGCATAGCCATACACCTCAGCCTGTGAAAGGAACAATCCAGACCCACGCTGACCTCCCCGGCCTCACACAGCCGTGTGTGTTTCCCGTTCATCACCACTTGGGGGCGCCGGGGTACCCGCCTGCTCCCCCACCTGTCAGTATTCACTGGTCCCCCGCAGTGCAGGAGTGCAATCCAGGCTGGGCTGTGGGCAGGCAGACCCCACCTGCCCCCGCCCCACCCTGGGTGGGGTGGGGCCTGGGCAGCCTTGGGGCAGGGCTCAGGGAGTCGGGGCTGCATCCGTCCAGCCCCCAGCCTTGGGGGACAAAAGCCAAAGGTGCCAGGCCTTAGAAGAGTAGACAAGGGCTCTCTCTGCCATGCCATGCCCCCCAAAGGGACCAGGGTCCCCCTATTCCCCAGAATCATGTTGGGGAGAACTTGACCTGTGAAAAAGATGCCGGCAGTTAGGGGATGGGGGAACTTAACTGGAGCCTCAGTCTGACATTCCAAGCTGGGGGTGGGTGTGTGGGAATTGAGGCCACCCTGACCCCCTTCCTCGGAAGCCCCAGCTTCAGTTATCCCACTTTGATTTTATACTGGGAACCCCTCCCCCTACCTCACCTTGTTATTTATTGCTGTAATTCACTGACCTCAAAAATGCTGCATAACAGACCTCACTTGGGGCAGGGAGGATCCCCAGGGCTCCCCCCTCCACTTGGCGGGACCCCGTGGGGCCAGGTGCTGAAGGGAACCTCTCTGTCCCCAACCCACACTTGCTTCTCCCGCTCCCGGGGGCCCAGGCTGGGCACTGGCTCATTCTTGCAAATACCTCGAGGGGGAGGGGAGGGAGGGGTTATAACTGTTTTGTTTAATTGGAACTGGAAGAGGGATCATGTCCTATTTTATGCCCTTCCCAGAAAGAGGGAGGGATAGCAGGATCGCACTCCTGCACTGGCCACCGCCGCTGTCACTTGTCACACTGAGTTCACCTCCCTCGAGAGTTTGGGTAAATTCAGATCAGAGCTGCAGGCACACAGCCATCCAGTGTCAGAAAAGCGATTCACCAGTGACCGATCTCTCCATTCAGAAGCGTGCAGTCTTAATGTACAGTGATGAGAAACTGTTATTTTATGATCTTTTCATTAAAAGCTTGGTTGAAAACTATCAAGGCCTCAGTGTTCTGCTTCTGCTTTTCTCTAGCAAAGTGATAAATGGCTTCCAGGTCGTAGGAGGGTGGGACCCAGGTGGGGCACTTGGCTGCTATCTCCAAGCTGTGCTTGGTGGTAGTAGGTCCCAGGCCAGAAAGCCAGCACTTTGGTGTCAGCATCCTCTTGGGCAACAACCTGAGTTAGCTGAGGCCATCCAGGGAGCAATGATCTGTGGGCAGTCACGGTGGGCAAGGACTTGGTGACTGGGATGTTGGGGCGTCTGCCCGGTGCCCGCGACCCCTGTTGGAGCGGCAGGGCTGGGGCTGAGCAAAGGCTGGGCAAGGCAAGGGCCCACTGCTGCTTCCTGCTGCCTGGCCTGCTGGGGGACGGCCGGGGATGGGGTGACCTTGGGACTGCACATGTCCACAGTGGCTCCCAGGCAGCAGCAAGCCAGCCTGTGACCCTAGACTTGGGCATTGCTGCTCTAGTGGTGCATTCTACTGGATTTGTTTAAAAATTTTTTTTTTAATTTTGTGACTTTTATAATCTGATGACTTATGTAGTAAGAGCAGCTACTATCCAAATCAACTTTAGTGTCATAAGAATTGTTATACGAGGTTAAAACCCATTATCTGCAGAGTTCCTAATTCTTTTTCCACCTTACAACTATTCTCTAATACCTTACAACAATGCATTTGTAATGTCACCATAATTGTTTAAATTTCTGAATTACAAAATGTGTGAATACTCCCCCATCCCAACTTCTAGTTTTTGAGAATGACATTTCTCTTTCTGAAGATTACCTGGGTTGGCTTATCTTATATATGCGATTAGATACACTGAAAAGTACCTCAGGCTCAAATTTAAATCATTTTGTATTTAAATACTGATTTTATAAAATGTAGCATATAAAGGTGAACTCAATTTACAACTTAATTTGTTTAAGCAAATTGCCTTTCACAATACATTGCAGCTAAGATGTGTACAAGATTTTACATGCATTTGGGGAGAAATCACACAGAAGCAGCTGCTTTTTCAATAAACTTGGCCAACTTCACATCTTTTTTGGTCAATCCACCAAAGTCATGCGAGGTAAGAGTTATCTGGACCTTGTTGTACACATTGGACCATTCTGGGTGATGATTCATCTTCTCTGCTTGTAGGGCAACTCGGGATATAAAGCCAAATGCCTGATTAAAATTTTTGAAGGGGCTGGGCGCGGTGTCTCACGCCTGTAATCCTAGCTCTCGGGCGAGCGAGGCGGCGGATTGCTCGAGGTCAGGAGTTCAAAACCAGCCTGAGCAAGAGCGAGACCCCGTCTCTACTATAAATAGAAAGAAATTAATTGGCCAACTAATATATACAAAAAATTAGCCAGGCATGGTGGCGAATGCCTGTAGTCCCAGCTACTTGGGAGGCTGAGGCAGGAGATCTTGAGCCAGGAGTTTGAGGTTGCTGTGAGCAGGCTGACGCCACGGCACTCACTCTAGCCTGGGCAACAAAGTGAGACTCTGTCTCAAAAAAAAAAAAAAATTTTTTTTTGAAGGAGAACTCTTTGTGGAGGTCATCTCTCTCACTTGCTACTAACCACCCTGCTGCTTTGAGGTGGTCGTGTATAATCTGCTTCAGCTCCTCTGGTGTCAACTAGTGAACATCTGCCACCGTGGCCGCGAATGTTGGCCCGACAAGAAGCCCCGCGTCGCCCGGTGCGCCCAGACCGCCGCTGCCGTGGCCGCCCAAGGAGGGCTTAAAAAATTTTTTTTTTAAATTTTTTTTTTGAGACAGAGTCTCGCTTTGTTGCCCAGGCTAGAGCGAGTGCCATGGCATCAGCCTAGCTCACAGCAACCTCAAACTCTTAGGCTCAAGCGATCCTCCTGCCTCAGCCTCCCGAGTAGCTGGGACTACAGGCATGTGCCACCATGCCGGCATTTTCATATATTCTAGTTGCAATTAATTTCTTTCTATTTATAGTAGAGACGGGGTCTCACTCTTGCTCAGGCTGGTTTCGAACTCCTGACCTTGAGCAATCCTCCCGCCTCGGCCTTCCAGAGAGCTAGGATTACAGGCGTGAGCCACCGCGCCTGGCCGCCCCATTATAGATCTCAATGCCACCAGCTATGTCCTCAAGCAGGTAGGCCTAATCAATTTGGACATCAACATCATTTTTAGCAGCAATTTTGTACATAGGGATCGCCTTTTGCACTGCACCCTTTACCAGAGGTAAATCTTGTTTCCTGCAACGAACAATCATTTGGAGTTCCAGCAACTGGTACAAACCCTGGAGGACCAGTCCATCCAGCAGCACCTGGTACCTTTTGTGTCTTTTACCACCTTGTTGAGTCTCTGTTTTGCTTCATCTAGTAGGTCTGTGATAAGGTCATCTCTTGCTTTGAGGACTCTGAGCCTTGCTTGATTCACCAAATTGAACATTTTCTTCTGCTGCTCAATCTGCTTCTCTTTCTTCTCATAGTATTCCATAATCTTCAGTCTTTGGGTTTGCACAAGCCGACCTTTCTCAATGGTGAATTCTTCTGCCTTTGCATCTATTTTTCTACTTTTTCACTGGCTTCTTGTTCAATGAAAGCCATCATATGCTTAATCTGCTTTTGCACATCAGCATCGCTGAGGGCCATGGTGAGAGCAATGCTAGACCGGTGGGCAACAGGATCGAGTAGAGGTTGAAGAGATCGGTGGGAGGGTTGAGAAGAAGAAAACTCCAGATGTAGCTCTTTTTAAGGAAATACTTTTTGGCATCTTCTTCTGTTCCTTGCACAATATCTACAGTAGTTCCCTTTTAGATCCCTCTTTTCAGTTTGCTTTTATCTTTTTCTATAACTTTAAAGTCTTTTCTTAAACACTGGGTGGTGGTGGCAAATTGTTCATATTTACGATCGAGACCCTACAAAGCTGCTCAGAACCAGACCAACGGCACCCAAGACGCGCCGTCCATCACACTTGTCCTTGCGCGGCCGAGAGGCGCGAGGCTTCCTCCGCGAGAGCAGCGCCTGCGCCCGCGCCTGGCCCGCCTGGCTGAGGGAGCGGGCGAGGGCGGCCCGCCTGGCACGCCCGGCTGAGGGAGCGGGCGAGGGCGGCCCGCCTGGCACGCCCGGCTGAGGGAGCGGGCGAGGGCGGCCCGCCTGGCACAGGGAGCGGGCGAGGGCGGCCCGCCTGGCACAGGGAGCGGGCGAGGGCGGCCCGCCTGGCTGAGGGAGCGGGCGAGGGCGGCCCGCCAGGCTGAGGGAGCGGGCGAGGGCGGCCCGCCAGGCTGAGGGAGCGGGCGAGGGCGGCCCGCCAGGCTGAGGGAGCGGGCGAGGGCAGGCCTGGCCGGGCGGGGAAGGCGGCACCGCCTCGAGCCGCGTCCCGTGTCCCCCAAGAGGCGGTGTCGCTCCGTCGGCTGGCTCGGACAGGCCCTGCCCAGCCGGCGCCCGCTCCCAGCCGCGGGCGCTGCGGGTGGCCCGTGCCCTCCCGCCCGGCGACAGGAGAGCCCGCCTCCGAGACAAAACCGCCTCTCCCAGAGCCGCGGGAGGGCGTACGCCGCGGGCGTCTGCGTCTTGCGCGGGGCGCCGGCGTTCGAGGACTTCCGGCAGGGCCTGCGGAGGGCGGAGGGCGCCGCCGAGCGGCGGGCGTGTGCAAGGACGCCTTCCCCGCGGCCCTGGCCCAGCCCGACCGAGCCGTCGACGGTCCTAGGCGTTGTGCTGTGCGGCGTCGCTGCGGTGACTGCGGCCCGCGGAGGGGGCAGCGCCCGGCGCCTGCGCGGTCGCCTCTCTAGGAGCTGGATGGCTGTGGGCAGCGCGAGCCCTGGGTGCGTGGCCCTGCGGCCTCCGGCCTGGGCCTCCCCCAGCACAGGCGGCCCCTGGCCTTTCCGCGGATGTCACCGTGGGGAGGGCTGGTGGGTCCAGGGCTGGGAAGGCACAGGCAGGCGGGGCTGCAGGCTCCTGGGCAGGCAACAGCTGGGCCAGGGCGGCGGCCGGGGGCCTGTCCCTGCCACTCTGCTTTTCCAACTGAGACCCACAGGTGGGGAGGGGAGGTGTTTTTTTTGAGACAGAGTCTCGCTTTGTTGCCCAGGCTAGAGTGAGTGCCGTGGCGTCAGCCTCGCTCACAGCAACCTCACACTCCTGGGCTCAAGCAATCCTCCTGCCTCAGCCTCCCAAGTAGCTGGGACTACAGGCATGCGCCACCATGCCCGGCTGACTTTTTCTATATATATCAGTTGGCCAATTAATTTCTTTCTATTTATAGTAGAGACGGGGTCTCGCTCTTGCTCAGGCTGGTTTCGACTCCTGACCTCGAGCAATCCGCCCGTCACATCCCTAGCATCCCAGAGTGCCAGGGTGACAGGTGTGAGCCACCGCGCCCAGCTGGGAGGGGAGGTCTTGGCGCCAGGAGGCCCACCCACCCTCGGGGACTCACTGAGCAGCACCTCCCTCTGCTCCGGGTGGGTGGCCTCGGAGGGGACCTCACCCGTCCCCTGTGCCTGGCTGCCTGGTGGTACCTCCTGCTGTCGCTGAGCAGTGGGTCTAGGAAAATGCCTGCCGCCCGCCATTTGAGGATGAGCCTGTTTCATGTTCAGCTGATCTTGGCCACAGGTAACAGAGCCAGTCCCCACCTGCTGGCGTCCCCAGGGTGAGGCTGGAGCAGCATTCAGGGGATGGCATCGTTGGCTTCTGCCGGTCCACGAGTCCAGGTCCTCTGGAAGGAGCCCGGCATTCGAGTGAGTGCTGCGTGCGGAGCCCTGGGCTGCTTGGTGGAGGAAAACGGGGTGAGCCATGGTCCTGACCTCTGGGATGCTAGCGTGCTGCGGGAGAGACAGCAGATAACACTGACAACAGTGGTGACAAACAGCAGCAGCTGACATCGAGCCTTCCCACAGCCAGGCCGGGTTCCAGACTTGGCAGCCTCCGGCCTCCTTCCTCCCACGGTTGGGTCAGTGCTGCCTGGGGGTGGGCTCAGCGGCTGCTCGTCCCTGTCCCCAAGGCACTGGTGTGCAGGGATGGGCGGGGACAGTCTGGCCTGTTGGTGACACTGGGCACCTGGCCTGTGGTTGGAGAGGAGGGCTGGACCAGGCTCCAGCCACATCAGAGAGCTCGGCCTGAGCCCAGGGGAGCAGGCCGGATTTGCCGGCAGTGGGGGCGGCCAGGGCTGGGGCTGCCATGACAAAGTGCCACAGACTGGGCGGCTGGAGCCACAGAGTCCGTGGGCTCACAGCTCTGGGGCCCGAAGTCCCAGATCAGGCCTGAGCAGGCCCGACTCCCGAGGCCTCCCTCCTGGGCTCGCCCACGGCCCTCTCCTCCCCGAGTCCTCACTGCCTGTCTGCGTCCTCATCGCCTCTTACAAGGACACCAGTCCTTGTGGATCACGGCCCACCGCATGGCCTCATTTTACCTTATCCGCCTTTAAAGACCCTACATTCAAACACGGTCACACTGTGAGGTGCCGGGGTCAGGGCTTCCACATGGGCATTTGGGGGACACAGCCGGAAGGGGTGCACAGAGCAGCGTGCCACGTGCAGCCGCCGGTGCCTGCAGGGGTCCCGGCAGCCCTGTCCCGGGTCTGATGACTCGCCTGCAGCTGGCCTCGGCGGCACCCTCGTCCTGCCGTCCTTTAGCGCAGGCCGCGCTGTCCGCAGGTGCCGCCGGCAGATGCTGCCACGACAGCTTCCCCTCTCGTGCCACAGGCCACGGCAAAGGCACGTGGGGGCGCGTCACGCGTGGCTACCAGGAGCCTGCGGTGGCTGCTTCCATCCCAGGCGGCTGGAGACCCCAGGAGCCAGTGGGGGCCGGTCCCCAGAAGCACCACGTTGGGATGCCAGCAGCAGCGTGCTCAGCCTGGCGCGTGGCCTCTGGGAAGCCCGCCAGCGAGCCTCGACCGCCGCCCGTCCTGGCTCATGCCAGTGGACTGTCTGCTAAGCCCCCGTGACCTCACTTCCACGTGTCCCCACGGCCGTGGCTGCGGTGGGGCTTGCAGGGCCCAGCACCACAGAGCATCGAGGGAGGTGGCCCCGCCCCTCCTGTCCCCTGGGCAGGTGGAGGGAGGGGCCGCCCGGCCTGAGGAGCAGCCCATCCCAGGGGGAAGGCCATGGCCTTCACGCATGTCGGGCACAGGGGTCCAAGTGTGTCCCTGCCGGGCTGGGGCGGCCAGGGGCTGGGCTGGGGTGTGTGCTGAGAGGCTGAGGGCTGCCTGTGCGTGGGGCCCCGGTCCTGCTGGCAGTGGCCCGTGCCCTTGGCCGAGACGCCACGTCTCTGCAGCGGAGACAGGCTGTCCCTCCGTTAGCCCCACGCCCCACTGTGTGCCAGGTGCCATGCTGTGAGCTCTGTCCCAGCAGGGCAGGCAGGAAAGAAAGGCAGCAGGAAAACGCATGGCAGGGGGTGCCCAGCGAGTGGGTGCAGGGAGACAGCGCCAGGGGGACCAAGTTGCTGTTGGGAATCAGGGACCAGGTGACCAGAGAAGGCTTCCCCCAGAAGCTGGTCTTAGGGTGAGGAAGTGAAGGAGGGGACAGGTGGTGGGAGGAGCTGGTGCAAAGGCCCTGTGGCAGCAGGTGGGTCTGTCCAGGCTGCTGTGGGGAGAATGGTCAGCAGGCAGCTACCGCATAGGTTCTGGAACAATCCAGCCCAGAGGCATGCGCTGCAGGTGCTAAGAAGAGGTCAGAACAGGCCGGGTGCAGTGGTTCACGCCTGTCATCCTAGCACTCTGGGAGGCCGAGGTGGGTGGATTGCTCGAGGTCAGGAGTTCGATACCAGCCTGAGCAAGAGTGAGACCCCGTCTCTACTAAAAAAAATAGAAAGAAATTAATTGGCCAAGTAATATATATAGAAAAATATTAGCCGGGCATGGTGGCACATGCCTGTAGTCCCAGCTACTCGGGAGGCTGAGGCGGGAGGATCGCTTGAGCCCAGGAGTTTGAGGTTGCTGTGAGCTAGGCTGACGCCACGGCACTCACTCTAGCCTGGACAACAGAGTGAGACTCTGTCTCAAAAAAAAAAAAAAAAAAAAAAAAGGTCAGAACTGGGACTGGGTTTTATTTGAACTTACTTAACAAGCACTTGCGTGTCGCCAACGCGACCAGCAATGGTCTGAGTGCTTTGCAGACATCAGCTCAATTAGGCAACCACTGCACTCACAGGTGGGCCAGCAGTCTGTGACAGAGGAGCCCTCAGGACTAGCGGACAGGTTGGAGGAAGGGCGTGTGACGGGGCGGGGCTGGGAGGAGCAGGGGGAGGCTGGAGGGGACCGTGCCAGGAGAGCCAGTCGCCTGGCGCGGTGTGGCGAGTGGGCCGGGGAGGCTGACAACTGGCCACTTCCCTGGGGGCTTCCATGAAGGGACATTGGTCTCCTCCCTCCTTCCCTCAGAGCGTAGAGACTGACCAGGTTCTAGGTGCCCAGTGGCCGAGGGGAGCTCCGGAGGCCTCTTCTGACACGAACGCCCCCGCTGCAGCCGAGCAGCAATCGGCTCTCGCTGCTGCTTTCCTTCCGCTTTACATGACAACTCGCACGTCACTCGTGGTTGTGCGTGGTGTCCCGCCACATCCACGGCTGGCGGTGGAAGGTCCGTCAGAGAGTAGCGCCGCACCAGAGACACTCAAGATATCCTATAAATAGGCGGTGCCAACACCTGACCCATGCGGGGCAAATTCCGCTGACTCTCGTTTGTCTGATGCAGATTTTTGTGGCTGTATACCTCATGGACTCTGCTCACCGCGCGATTGTTTCGAGGCCGCCTCTGCAGCGCTACCGTATCCTGTGTTAGCTGCTCATCTGCCATCTTCGCAGCCCAAACACGCTCCACAGCAACCTCAAACTGCCTGTGGCTCAAGCTATTCCACCGGGCCCACCTGCGCCCCGGGGCTGGGCCTGAGCCCAGCCAGTGACAGACAGCTGCCCTTTTTGCGAGCCCACAGTTATAGGGCGTGGGTGCGGGAGCAGACCGCAACCCTTTGCCCAGCAGTCCTCCAAGAAAGCAGTCCGACGCCCGCCTAGCAAGCGGCTCCCAACTCAGCCGAGCGACTACACGGTGCCATTCAGATGCCACCCATGCCGGGCGCTACAAGCTGCTAGACTTAGTGCCAATAGGGAAAGTGGCTAGCAGTTGGATGGTCTCCATTCTAAAGCTCACAGCGCATCCGAAACGAGGAACGGGGCTCCTCTGACTCAGCTGGTTTCGAACTCCTGACTTCAAGCAATCCACCCGCCTCGGCCTCCCAGAGTGCTAGGGTTAGAGGTGTGAGCCACCACGCCCGGCCAAATATTTAACAATTAAAGTAGGGGCCTTCAGGGTGTGGCAGCTCACCTGCAGTCGCTGCAGCTACGTGGAGGCTGAGATGGGAGGGTCGCTTGAGGCCAGGCCAAGCGTTCCAGACCAGCCTGAGCGACATACCGAGACCTCATGTCTATAAAGGTTTTAAAAATAGAATAATAGGGCCCTGTGTGGATAGGAAGGAATCATAGGAATTGGTCAGATAGTGGCACAGAAACCAGGGGGAGCGAGAAAGGCCTCACCGAAGAGGTGGCGGTCCGCGGTGCGGGTACAGGGCAGCACTGGACAAGAACCGAGGTGTGAAGCCGTGCTGGGTGTGGGCGCAGGCTGGGGTCGCCTCGCCTGCGGTGGGGGCGAGTGGCCCGGAGACCGCAGGACACCGCGAGTCCTGGGAAAGGGCTTGGGGTTTTGAATTTATTTTATCTTTCCTCCCACCAGACAGGTAACAAGGTTTGCAGGAGGCACAGCCAGGCCAGGACGCCTGCTCATCATGCTTTTGAGCCACAAAGGGATGTGGATTTGATTCTTTAAGAAGTTAATGTTTGGACTGGGCGCAGTGACTCACGCCTGTAATCCTAGCTCTCTGGGAGGCCGAGGCGGGAGGATTGCTCAAGGTCAGGAGTTCGAAACCAGCCTGAGCAAGAGCGAGACCCCGTCTCTACGAAAAATAGGAAGAAATTAATTGGCCACTAATATATATAGAAAAAATTAGCCGGGCATGGTGGCGCATGCCTGTAGCCCCAGCTACTTGGGAGGCTGAGGCAGAAGGATTGCTTGAGCCCAGGAGTTTGAGGTTGCTGTGAGCTAGGCTGACGCCACGGCACTCACTCTGGCCTGGGCAACAAAGAGAGATTCTGTCTCAAAAAAAAACCAACTATGAACAAATTCCTATGCACACTGCACATATCTTAATTTGAAGTAAAATAACAAACAGGCAAAAACACCTGCATGTGGCCCACGGGCTGTAGCTTGAGGACACCTGCTCTAGGGCGTATGGGTGGTCGTGCAGGGCGCCCTGTCCCTTCCTTCTCTGTGCCCTAGGCAGGCTGGTGCGCGGGAGGGGCGGAGGCCGCTGCTGCGCGGGAGGCTGCTGGCTGCTGGCGAGAGGAGGGCGCTGAATCCAAGCCCGAGCCTGGAAGGAAGAGCAGAAATCCGCCTCGGCTGCGCCAGGGAAGGCAGGCGTGGGGCAGGCACAGGGGCCAGGAAGGCTGCGGGACTCAGACACAGTGGGGGGCCCAAGGTGGGGGAGAGGGATTTCCTGGGATTGGGGGGGGGGCGGCCTGGAGTCACTGAGGCTGGGAGGCTTTCCGTTCCCAAAGCTCCTGCGGCCCACGCCTCTCCCGACTTCGCGACAGGCTCAGTTCCCCCAAGAGGCAGAATCAGCTCCCAGCTCCCCACAGAGCTGCCCCTGCGCAGAAATGGGCCGTTGGGAAAGGAGGGGACACCCGGGAGGCCTTGTGACAGCCCTCCCCACCCTGCAGCCACCCCACCTAGGTCTGTCCCATTGGCAGCTGCAGAAAAGTGAGTCCAGAGCTTGAGCAAGTGTCACCTCGCCTTCCGTCTAGACGCTCCCTTCCAGCGTCCTCTTCTGTAACTCAGCTGGGGACAGGTGGGCACCTGTCATGCTAAGCCTCAGTTGGTTTTCCTGTCTGTAAAATGGGGTCAGTGTCACAATGCCTAGCCGGTTGGGGGTGATGGAGTCTTGGGGACACTCCAAGGCCAGGGAGGAGGGGCACAGGCTGGAGCATGGAAGAAGGGACCACGTGGGACTCCAGTGGCACACCGCCAGTCCCGCAAACACTGTCCCAGGCCTGCTGAATGTGCCCCGGGCTCTCTCTGTTTCCCCAGCTCTGTGCCCACCGCAGTCCCTCTCTTGGTCCACTCTAGGAGAACTGGCCTTCTTGAAGCCACCGACCCCACTGCGAGCTTCCGCATGCAAAGCCTTGGAGATGGCCCAGCCCCTTCCTGCCAAGTGCACGCCATGGCGGTGGCCATGCCAGCCTGCCCCCGTTGCTCATCCAGGGCCTCCTGCACAAGCCACCCTCTGGACCCCTGGGGACTTGGAGCATCCTGCCACAAGACCCAAGCCCAGGCGGACCCTCCGTTCTTGCCTGCACCTGTGGAGAGGGAGCCCCACTGGACCGAGACAGAGCAGCCAGGCCCCCACAGACGCCGAGCCATGGCAAGGGGGACTGGGCTCCGGGGCTGCCGGACAGAGCCGCACAGACAACAGACATCTACTGTCTCAGTTCTGGAGGCTGGAAGTCCAAGGTCCTGGCTCAAGGGATCCTCTCACCTCAGCCTCCCAAAGTGCTGGGGTTGATTCCAAGCCTGAGCCGCGGCACCCAGCCTCGGCCCTTTGAACGTGCGGGCTTCACATCCAGGCTGCTCTGCAACCCTGCCCAGCCCCAGGCCCAGGGCTGCGAACGGCACCTCTACAACCTTTGGGTTTGAATCCACATGCCATCTGTGTCCCTCCTCTATATCAATTGAGGGCCTAAGTACCATCTCTTTGGGGTTGTAAGGATTGAACGAGGTCACAGGAATCTGTGTCTACTGAGGTGTGTGCTGAAACTCAGCAGCTCCTTTCTCCTATTCTGTCCTTGCCCCTACCCCCACCCCACCTTTGACCTCTAGGGGATGGGTTTCCAACATAGGAGATGCCAAGAATGAGCCATGTAAAGCCATCCCAGTCACCTGGCTGCTGCATAGTGTCATTCACATGAGCGCATCTAGTAACCAGTAAGTAACCCTTTGCTAGTAATCTGAACAGCTAGTAATTCTTTGCTACATAACAGACCACCCCCATAACTTAGTGGCTTGAAACAAAAGCCATTTTATTTGCTCTTGATTCTTGTGGGTCGGCGGTGCCAGCTGGGCTCAACTGGGCTCTGCTGGGCGGTTGTGCAGGCCTTGCCGGGGCGCTCTTGTGAGGCTGTGGTTTTCGTGGGCTGGGAGGTTGGAGGTGGCTTCACTTGCATGCCTGCTGGCTGGTGCTGGCTGTAGCCTCTTCCTGTGGGTCTCAGAGGGTGACAAGGGTAACCTGCAAGGGTGACTGCAAGGGTCCTGAGGCCCAGGTTCATGGGCCAACAGGTCATTCCTGCCTCATCCTTTTGGTCAGAGAAAGACACAACGGTGAGCCCAGATTCATGGGCTGGGGACACAGAAACTGCACACAATTTGCACTTGTTGTTAGTCTGCTGTAAGTAACCCAAAGTAACTTGAGTCTTTTTTTTTTTTAATTGAGACAGAGTCTCAGTCTGTTGCCTGGGCTAGAGTGCCATGGCATCAGCCTAGCTCACAGCAACCTCAAACTCCTGGGCTCAAGCAATCCTCCTGCCTCAGCCTCCCGAGTAGCTGGGACTACAGGCATGCACCACCATGCCTGGCTCATTTTTTCTATATATGTTTAGTTGGCCAATTAATTTCTTTCTACTTTTAGTAGAGACGGGGTCTCGCTCTTGCTCAGGCTGGTCTCAAACTCCTGACCTTGAGCAATCCACCCACCTTTGTCTCCCAGAGTGCTAGGATTACAGGCGTGAGCCACCGCGCCTGGCCAGTAACTTCAGTCTTGCTTATATTTCTCAACATTAGTGAAAGGAGACTCAGGGCTTGCTTCTGTCAGTTTCCTGCACTCTCCTCTGCACCTGCAGAGTTCTTACCTGCAGAGTGCCCCTTCCTGGGGGCATGCGGGACCCTCAACCGTTCCAGCCCTTCCCCCTTGGTCCGGATGCAGTCCTCCTTCCTGTCCTCCCCTACCCCTTGGACTCACCCCTATGTATTTAGCTTGTATAAATGTCATCATGGGGCACATGTAATTTTTTTTCACTGTCATCATTATTTTTGGGTATCTTCATGTTGATTTGTGTAGATCCCAGCTTATTTTAAGTCTCTATGGGATTCTTTTGTTTTCATATATCACATTCCACTGGTCAGTCTCTCTGTACATTGGTGGAGTATTTAGGGTGTCCCCACTCAGTGCTTTGGTCTTATAAATTTGTTTTTTTGTGAACATGTAAGAAGCCTCCTTGGGGCATGTGCCCACAGTGGACTGCAGGTCACGGAGGGTGGCCATGCCCAGTCGCTGTTGCAGCCACCTGCTCCCCAAGTGGCCTGTGGACGGTGATGGTAGCAGCGTGCCAGAATCCCTGACCCCGATCATTGCTGGTATTTGATGTCCCCCAACATCTTCTGGCTGCTCTGGTAGATGAAAAATGCATCCAACAGAGTGGCCCAAGGTGCCCTTACTCTGGCTGGGCATTACAGGTCTACTCTGGGGACTGTCCCTGCAGGCCCTTTGCCCTCCCTCCCTCCCTATGGTGTTTGGTTTTTGTCATGGTGGCTTCAGGATTTCCCATGTATTCAAGTGTTTTTTTTTTTTTTTTGTCTTTTTTAGAGGTGGGATTTTGCTACGTTGCCCAGGCTGGTCTTGAACTCTTGGGCCCAAGCAAACCCTGCACCTGAGCCTGCTGAGTAAGGTGGGACAATAGGTGTAAGCCATGAGCCAGTTTTCCCAGCACTATTTGTCACATGGTCATGGGGTGCCTCTCCCAAATCCGTCTTGCCCCATACCTGTCTTGGTTCCCTTCTCATGTGCTGGTGGCTGAATAGGGAAAAAGCATGCGCCCTAGTTCTGGCCCTTGAGAGTTGGGGTAAACCTATAAGAGGCATCTCCCCCCCCCACACAAAAGACACACAAAATAGAGAAGATTGCTCTTTTAGATTCCTCTTGGTTACAAGGTGGCTACAGCAGGTCCAGGCATCACAGACAGACACCCCTTGTAGGCAGCAAAGAGAATGTCCCTCCCAGTGTTTCCTTTTGCAGGGAGGCAAACCTCCCAGAAGTGCCCAGCCAACTTCCCCTCGTGTTTCACAGGTAGGATCCTACAACAGGAGAGCAACACAGCCGCGGATGGCTTAGACCTGTCCCCTTACGCCTGGAGCCAAGAGAGGGCGGGCCCAGCTCCCCAGAACAGGATCCTTGCAAAGGAGTGAGCTGAGGAGCTTGTACCGGCAAGGAGGAAGAAGGGGCCTCTGTAAGAGACTGGTGGGAGCCAACTGTGCGTGCCTGCTTGACGCTGCCCTGCATGTCGCTTCCTCGCGGCCCCTGGCACCCTCTTGGCCCTCAGTGGGAGCGTCGCTCGTCTCCAAAAATCTTAGCGTACTTACTCTTGTGTTTAGCACACCTTTATCAGGTGACACAGTCCTTTCCTATCCCTCTTTCATAAGAGCTTTTTAAAATTATCAATAGATATTGAACCTGATCATCCTGTCTGTGCCCACCAAAGGGCGTCCTCGAGATGGTGGTGTTCCCGCCCCTCTTTGCCCACGTGGTGAACAGCACTGATTTTTCTGATCTTTTTTTTTTTAAGACTAGTCAAGTGCAGTAGTGAGGAGGGGGGAAAGAATTTTTCTGATCTTGAACAAGCACTGTTTGGTTTCCATGTATCTTTTTTTTTTTTCTTGGTACCTCTTTGGATTTGGTTAGCTGATAATTTACTTTGGAGTTCTGCATCCAAGTTTTTAATTGAAACTGGCCAAATAAAGGCAGATTTTGAAAGGAGAGATTTAGGTAGTCTTACTAAACAGTGAGACAGCTTGTCTTTCCCCTATTTGCTTTTCAGATCTCCCCATGCGCCTTACAGTGGTAGTTGGCGTAAATGCTAAATCATATTGCGCTTTCCACCAGACACTATAGCTCTATGCAGGCCACATAATATTCAAATACATCATTTTATTTATTTATTCATTGTTTGAGACAGAGTCTCACTCTGTTGCCCAGGCTAGAGTGAGTGCCATGGCGTCAGCCTAGCTCACAGCAACCTCAAACTCCTGGGCTCAAGCAATCCTCCTGCCTCAGCCTCCCAAGTAGCTGGGACTACAGGCATGTGCCACCATGCCCGGCTAATTTTTTTCTATATATATTAGTTGGCCAATTAATTTCTTTCTATTTATAGTAGAGACGGGGTCTCGCTCTTGCTCAGGCTGGTCTCGAACTCCTGACCTCGAGCCTCCCAGAGGGATTACAGGCGTGAGCCACCGCGCAGGCCCAAATGCATCATTAAGTTATCACACTTGACTCCTTTTTGTGGTTACTGTGACCACTTCAACGAACCATTCAATGCGTAGGGGGTTTAAGACGTTTCTTTCCTTCCTGGGATAAATTCCTGGGAGTGGGACAATTGGGTCAAAAGACAAGAACGTGTTCAGGGATCCCGGTCTTATTCCGAGTCTTCTCCACACGCGGCAGCGGCCAGTGCGCAGGCGCGGCGGCGGCGGGCGGCGCGGGCGTTCCCTCGGCCCGGCCCGGCGCGGCCGCGGCTCTCGGCCAGCCCCGTCAGCGCCGCCGCCCGCCAATGAGAAGCGCGGCGAAGAAGGGAGGCGCGAGCGATCCCTCGGCCCGGCCCGGCGCGGCCGCGGCTCTCGGCCAGCCCCGTCAGCGCCGCCGCCCGCCATTGTGACGCGCGGCGGCGGCGGGCGGCGGCGGGAGCCATGGCCGAGGCGCGGGAGCTGCTGCTGCAGCTGCAGAAGGACAACCGCGACGGCCGCCTGCGCAAGCAGGAGCTGGAGGAGCTGGTGCGCGGGCTCGAGGCCGAGAGCGAGAGCCTCACCGGGCGCCTGCACGACCTGCGCGAGCGCGAGCGCAGGTGCGCGGGCGCCCTGACGGGCGGCGGGGGCTTCGCGGGTGTGCGGCCGCCCGTCCGGCCCGGCGAGGCTCCCACGGCCCGACCCCGGGGCGGCGGCGGGTCCCTGCGGGACCGCGGAAGCCCGTGCGCCCACCGCCCCGGCCGCGGCTTCCCCTGCAGCCTGCAGCGGAGGCGGGGCCAGGCAGCGCGGACTCTGCGCGGGGAGGCGTGCGCGGCGGCGCGGGAGCGCGCGGAGCGGGCGCGCGGACTGCTGGAGGCGGCGGAGCGGCACAAGTTGGACCTGTGGGGCGCGCGGCGCGGCGCGCGGCGAGCGGGCGGGGGGGGGCGGGGCGGGCGGGGCGCGGCCCGGTAGTGGGGCCAGGCGGGTGGGCCGGCGATGTGGGACCCAGACGGGCAAGGGGCGGGCGCGCCGGTGAGGTGCCAGGCGGGTTGGGCCCGGGAGGTGGGGACCCAGACGGAGGCAAGGCGGCGGGCGCGCCGGGCGAGGTGGACCATCGGTGGCGGGCGCGCGTGGGGCGTGGCCCGGTGGCGTGCCCTGCTAAGGTGGGCGGGTGGGGCGTGGCTGGGCGGAGCGGGGTGCAGTGGGCCCAGGCGAGGTGGCAGTGGGTTGGCCGGAGAGGTGGGGCTGGGCGGCGGAGGCGGCATGGTGGGGCGTGGCCCAGGCTAGGTGGGCTGGAGGGCGAGCGGGGCAGGGTGGGCGGCCCAGGCTAGGTGGGCTGGGCGGGCGGAGGCGGGGCACGGGGTGGCGGGCCCAGGCTAGGTGGCTGGGCGGGCGTTAGGCGGGACGGGGTGGGCGGGCCAGGCGTTAGGTGGCTGGCGGCGAGGGGGCACGGGGGTGGGCCGGCACAGAGAGATGGGGCTGGGGGGCGGACGGGGACGGGGTGGGCTGCCAGGTAGGGCTGGCGGCGGAGGGGGCACGGGGTGGCGGGCCAGGCTAGGTGGGGCTGGGCGGCGAGGGGGCACGGGTGGGCGGGCACGGGGTGGCGTGGCCAGATAGTGGGCTGGGCGGCGAGCGGGCACGGGGTGGCGGCCAGGCTAGGTGGCTGGGCGGGGCGCGGGGCGGGCACGGGGTGGGCGGGACCAGCTAGGTGGCTGGCGGGCGGAGGCGGGGCACGGTGCGGCAGAAGTTGCTGGCGGGCGAGGCGGGCACGGGTGGGGCGGGCCCAGGCTAGTGCTGGGCGGGAGGGGCACGGCGTGGGCGGCCCAGGTAGTGGGCTGGCGCGAGGCGCACGGGGTGGGCGGGCACGGGTGGCGTGGCCCAGGAGGAGGTGGTTGCGGGCGGAGGCGGGGGCACGGGTGGGCGGCCCAGGAGAGGTGGGTATAGAGCGGCGAGCGGAGAGGGTGCAGGGAGACAGGAGAGGTGGGGCTGGGCGGGGCGGAGGCGGGGCACGGGGCGGGGCGGGGCGGGGCGGGGTGGGGCCGGCGGAGAGCCCGGACGTCCCCCTCGACCCTGCCCGCAGGAGCGGCACAACCAGCAGCTGCAGGAGCAGTGGGAGGAATTGTCGAGTCAGGTACGCGCAGGCACCGCACGGTCTCCGTCTCTGGGCTCCTCTGGGAAGTCCCGCTCTGGGCCCTGTCCCTGTCCGCCAGGACCACCCCTTGCCCCGTCCCTAGAAGTCCTGTAAGCCCCGCCCTCACAAGCCCCGCCCCCAGCTCTTCTACTACGGAGGGGAACAGCCGAGCCAGCAGAGCGTGGAGCAGCAACTCGGGACGCAGCTGCTGGCGCTGCAGGTGCCCGAGCGGGGCCCCGGGGGCGGGGCGGGGTGGGGCGGGGCGTGCCCGCCTCCTGACAGTTCCCTGGATCCTTCCAAAGAAACAGCTGGAGCTGGTGGAGGCCAAGTGCGCCCTGCAGACCGAGAGCCTGCGGCAGGTGCGGGCAGAACCGAGGCAACAGGGGGAGGGTCGGCTTACGGTGTGGGTGGGGAGGGACGTGCCCCCTGAACCTGCCCGGTTCTTCCCGCCCCAGGGCAAGCAGCGGACCGAGGAGGCCTGGGCCAGCTTTCAGGAGCAGAGCGGAGTCCTGCAGGTGCGGGCCCTCCGCCCTGAGACCCCCCACTGGCGGCAGCCAGACTCCCGCCCTGACTCCTCACTCCCACCCGCTCCAGGAGCTGCAGGGGAAGGTGATGGAGGCGGCGGCTGCACTGGACGCCTCACGGGGCGGCCTGGAAACGTAAGTCAGCTGGGACAGCTGGGTGCGGGGGGCCGGGGGGCCGGGCAGATCGCCCACCTGCGTGCGCGCCCCGCAGGTGTGACTCGCGGCCTCGCCCGGTGCAGGACTGCGCGGGCTCGCTCATGGAGGAGGTGGCCAGGGCGGACTGTGTGAGCACGGGCCCGGGTGGGCGGGCTGGGGCCGCGACCCATCCCCCAGGGGACCTGCCCCCTCAGGAGACCCGCCCCCGCGAGGGGCCGACGCTCCAGGGGACCTGCCCCCCCCCAACCCGGCCCCTGCAAGGAGCCAATGCTCCAAGGGACCCGCCACCCGGAACCCAGCCCCTGCGAGGGGCCGACGCTCCAGGGGACCTGTCCCCCAGAACCAGTGCTCCAGGGGAGCTGGCCCCGGGACTCCCGCCCGCGCCCCTGGCCTGGCGCAGGGCTGGATGCCGCTCCCTCTGCCCGCAGGAGAAGCGGCTGTTCGGCGGCGCGGGCGCCGGGGGCTTCAGGTGAACGGACGGCGGGCGCGGGCTGCGGCTTCCCCGGTGCCGGCCCGCCGCCCACCGTCCGTCTGTCCGTCCGCAGGCTGTGGGCGCGGGGTGCGCTGCGGGCGCTGTTGCTGCTCCCGCTCGGCTTCCTGGCGCTGGCGCTGGTCTGCGTGCTGCTGCGGCGCCCCGACGCCGTCCGCCGGGAGCTGGCGCGCCTGGGCTCGGACGCTGCGCTGCGCCGCCTGCGCTACACGCTGTCCCCGCTGCTCGAGCTGCGCGCGCGGGGGCTGCTGCCCGCCTGAGCATCACGCCGGCCACGGCCGCCTGCACTCTGTCTCCGTGTGGTTTCTGCGCGCCGCGGGGGCGGGCGGGGGCGGGCGGGCGCGCTCGTGTGCCCCTCGGTGCCCAGCGATCGGCCCTCGGGCGCAAGGCCACGTTGGGGGCCGACCCGGCCCGCGACCGCGCGGAGGCCGGTCAGCGTCGGACTGCTGAACTTCCTTTCCCGGCAGGGGCTGTTGGCGGGCGGGTTTCCTCCGTGGGGGCCTGTGGCTCCTGTGGGCCCGCAGCGTCCTGACCTCCCTTTGGGTGGGTCACCGTCCCGACGCGGGCCGGGGACGTTCCTCCCTGTGGTCCGCTTGACTCTCTGTGCAGCTGGGCGCCAGATGCTGACATGGTGCATTTTATTTATGTGAAAAGTTCTGCTTCATGTAAATGAATTTTGGACAAGACTGTAGTTTTCTCTGCTACAAATACTGCTCTGCTGATTCTTTTTTTTTTTTTTGAGACAGAGTCTCCCTTTGTTGCCCAGGCTAGAGTGAGTGCCGTGGCGTCAGCCTAGCTCACAGCAACCTCAAACTCCTGGGCTCAAGTGATCCTACTTCCTCAGCCTCCCAAGTAGCTGGGACTACAGGCATGTGCCACCATGCCCAGCTAATTTTTTCTATATATACTAGTTGGCCAATTAATTTTCTATTTATAGTAGAGACAGGGTCTCACTCTTGCTCAGGCTGGTTTTGAACTCCCGACCTAGAGCAATCCGCCCGCCTTGGCCTTCAGAGTGCTAGGATTACAGGCGTGAGCCACCGTGCCCGGCCTGCTGATTCTTTAAGTAGTGAAATTGCTGGGTGTATTTCCTCGTGCCCATATACATGGGATTGCTATGGCCTTGAAACAATTATTTTCTTACCGATTCCTAGGCATTCTTTAAGTTTTTTGGTCTGGTTAAAATTGCGTATGAAATCCTGTGTATAAAAATTTCATCAAATTTAAGAAATGTGCTTTGTGTCCTAAAAAATCCATTCTTGGTATAATCCTAGCACTCTGGGAGGCCAAAGTGGGCGGATTGTTTGAGCTCAGGAGTTTGAGATCAGCCTGAGCAAGATCAAGACCCCAATCTCTACTAAAAACAGAAAGAAATTAATTGGCCAACTAAAAATATATAGAATCCGGGCATGGTGGCACATGCCTGTAGTCCCAGTTACTCAACGATGGCTGAGGCAGGAGGATCACTTGAGCGCAGGAGTGTGAGGTTGCTGTGAGTTAGGCTGACTCCACAGCACTCTAGCCCCGGCAACAGAGTGACACTCTGTCTCAAAAAAAAAAAAAAAATCCATTCTTGCTTGAAATCATAACAACATTCTCATATTTTCTTTTAAATACTTTTTTAAAAATTTCAGCATATTATGGGGGTACAGATTTTAAGGTTTCAATAAATGCCCATTTCCCTCCCTCCCCCCACAAGTCTGAGTCTCCAGCATGACCATCCCCCAGATGGTGCACATCTCACTCATTATATATGCATATACCCGCCCCCCTTTTAAATACTTTTAACTGGTGTATTTTAGACATTTGATGTTTAAAGTGATTATTGGCTATAGTTGGATTTTATCATATTTGTTACTGTTTTCTATTTTTGCTTTTGTTCTTTGTATTTTTGTCCTCCACTTTTTTCTGCCTTTCATTCTTTAAATTGAACATTTTATAGTATTCCATCTTCTTTCTTTAGCATATCAGTTATACTTTTTTTTTTTTTTTTTGAGACAGAGTCTCGCTTGTTGCCCAGGCTAGAGTGAGTGCCATGGCGTCAGCCTAGCTCACAGCAACCTCAAACTCCTGGGCTCAAGCAATCCTTCTGCCTCAGCCTCCTGAGTAGCTGGGACTACAGGCATGCACCACCATGCCCGGCTAATATTTTTTTTATATATATATATTGGCCAATTAATTTCTTTCTATTTATAGTAGAGACGGGGTCTTGCTCTTGCTTAGGCTGGTTTCGAACTCCTGACCTCGAGCAATCCGCCTGCCTCGGCCTCCCAGAGTGCTAGGATTACAGGCTTGAGCCACCGCGGCTGGCCTCAGTTATACTTTTTAAAACCACTTTAAGTGATTGCCCTTGAGTTTGCAATACACACAGTGAATTCAAGTCCACTTTCAAATGACACTAGACCGCTTCACGAGTGTCAGGTGTCTGATAAAATAATTCTACTCCCTTCCTCCTGTCCCTTGTATCATTGCTGTCATTCATTTCACTTACAATCTATGCTTGAATACATTGTTGCTATTACTATTTTGATCAAACTGTTTTAGATTATTTAATAAGAAAAAAGTTTTTATATTACCTTCACTCATTTTCTAATGTTCCTTTTTTAATTTTAATTCTTTTTTTTTTTTTGAGCCAGAGTCTCACTTTGTTGCCCAGGCTAGAGTGCCGTGGCGTCAGCCTAGCTCACAGCAACCTCAAACTCCTGGGCTTAAGCAATCCTTCTGCCTCAGCCTCCCGAGTAGCTGGGACTACAGGCATGTGCCAACATGCCCCAATAATTTTTTCTATATATTTTTAGTTGGCCAATTAATTTCTTTTTATTTATAGTAGAGACGGGGTCTCGCTCTTGCTTAGGCTGGTTTTGAACTCCTGACCTTGAGCAATCTGCCCGCCTTGGCCTAGGATTACGAGACGTAAGCCACCGTGCTCGCCCGTACAGTAATTTCTTGCTGGTTGTTCCATGAACTGCCCAGAGAGGGGCGTTAAAACCTCCAGCTATGATTGCTGAAGACTCATACACACACACAAAAAAAAAAAAAAGAAAGAAAAAAAATACACATGATTATGGATGGTAAGTCTCGTCTCATTTGTTTACTGTCAACTTTGTTTATATTTAAGGTGCATTGCTTATAGTCAGCACAGAATTGGGTCTTGCTCTTTTAATCCATGCTTGTAATCCTGACTTTTAGTTGGAGTGGCGAGTCCACTGTTTAACATAACACTGGCATGTGTGGACAGATGTCTGTAATTGCACCATTTCTTTGTTCCACCTGTTGTTCTCTGTCCCTCCTTTCCTGACGTCTTTGGGATTAATTTAATACTTTTATAAAAACTGTTAACTCACACATTGGCCTATTTATATTTTCATTTATATTGCTCAGGACTTCCCTGTGCTTCCTAAAGCTGTGTGTTTTGCCCACTCTGGAGATCTCGTTAGGAGTTAGCTGGAGCTCATTTAACGTTCCCTTTCTTTCTGCTCCATTTTTGGTGATTTCATTGTTGTCTTTCCCGTGATTGGTTCTCTTACCTGCTGTTTAACTGATCCTTTGCACTCTTTTCTTGTTTGGGGTCTGTGTGCCTTATCTGCTTACGATAATTAGAAGGCCTTGGTGTGGGGGAGTAGGTGGCTGCAGGGACTAGTCACACACAAGGATTTTGGAGTCCAGAGCACAGCACCTTGCCGTGACTGAGAGGAGCCCAGCACTGAAGAGACTGGAGCATAGGCAAGGCACTGAGGACAGCGGGCAGCCCCAGGGAGTCAGCTTTGGAGAGGGCATCGCGATCAGGGGAGACAGTGCTATTTCTGGCGCAACCTGCACCATGGTGTTTGCATGTTAAGCCCTAATCCGTGTGCCTGGCCCCAGCCCACGAGTGCAGGTAACACTAGGCCCCTCTCCAGGGGCACAGCCAGAAACTGCCCCTCAGCTGGCCCTAAACTTGGACACTAAACCTGACAGTCAAATTCCAACACAGCACTGTTTGGGGTTTTTATTTTGTCTATGTTGGTTAAACCTTAGATTGAATATAATTTTTTTAATACACAAGAAAATACTTCACGTACCTAGGAAATAAGATAGGTTGGGAATGTGTCCAGTGCAAACAGAGGATTCACACCTGTGCATAGACAGCACCATCGATGATTGTCGTCTCAGTCTGTGGCATCACTAAAGCCACCCCAGCGTGTGCTGCACCTGAGGAAGGAGCAGCTGCCCGGGTCTGAGGCTGCAGTTCTTTTCTCCTATAGAACAACTCTGCTGGGTGGAGTGGTGGGGCGGGTGGGCACGTGGCTCTGTGATTGCAGAGTGACTCGAGGGCACATGGAGTGGAAGGCTAGTCTAGGCTTTGGGCTGCCCTCCTCAGTAGGGTATGTCATTCTGATAGTACTGGATCATGTCGTAGGTCCGGCTCCTGGAGGGTGAGGGTGAGGGAGGCTGTGAGGAGCCAGCCTGCTGGGTCTGGGTCCCTCCCCACTGGCTTATCCCCCACCATGGCTGCCCAGAGACCACATCTCCTGCTCCAACTCTGAGGCCTGCTCCAACTCACAGTCCTCAGCCAAACTCCTTCTGGCTGCGGGAGCTACCACTCTACCAGGTGCGCGGGAGCTACCACTCTACCAGGTGCCCCTCTGGCCCCTCGGCCTGTCACATGTAGACACCCAGAGGGGGTGTGTGCAGCCATCCTTCCTCTCCACACTCCAGGCCCCTTGCCCTCAGCACACCTCCGTGGACACCCTCCTCCTGCCCCCCAAGCCTTCCTGAAGCCTTGCGCTTCTCTGTCGTTTGCCTGGGCTCTCTGTGCCTGGCCTCGCGGTTCCTGCCCTTTCTTTCTCCCACTGCCCATTAGGTCGCTAGACGTTTTGGGCACCTGCAGTGGGTTCTTGGGCTTCCTCTCAGGCTCATCCACCCGTTCCCAGAGCAGGTGGCCATGCCCCTGGCCCCTCCTGGTATGGATGTAGCACAGCCTGGGCTGCCCCTGCCCCCAGGCCTTGCCCAGCCCCATGTCTTCAGGTGCCCCTACGTGGCGGCTTCCAGACTCTCAGAGCTGTTCCCTCATGCACCTACTGGAATTACCGCCTCCCGTTGTTCAGGCTGGAAACCTCAAAGCTGCCTCTTAACTCTCACAGCCCATGGGAGCCCGCAGGCCTGGGGCTCCGCCTTCAGACCCTGAACCAGCTCTTCTCAGTCTCCCGCCTCCACCCTCTCTCCCTACCACAGGGAGACTGACTGGCTGCCCCCGGTTGCCCCCCACACCCTGCCCACACAGCAGCCCCAGGAAGGCACAGGGAGGAGGGGCGGGACAACTTCCTAAGCCCTCCCAAGGGAGCTCCCATCCCGAGCTCGAGCTTGGGGTCAGTGGCGGCCTGTGTCCCACCTCTCTCAGCCCCAGGCAGGTGCGCTTTCTAGCTCCAAGCCTCTGCCAGGTGTTCCCCTCTAAACAAGCACTCACTGTTCCTCCAGAATTCCCACCAGAGCTCAAGTGACCAAGAGTCTCCCATGAGAGGAACAGTTGGGGATGGCAGCATCCTGGTGACCTGGTCGGGGCAGGGGGTAGGGAGACTCGCCTGTTGCTGAGGAAGCAGCTCTGGATGACCTTCATGATGAAGTTCGCAGCCTCACGCTCGGTCATGTTGGGGCTAAACCTGTGCCTGGAGAGAGGCTGTGTCAGGGCTACTGCCATTCCCTGCTAGGCCCGTGGTCCCGCCCGAGGCTGCCCCTGCC